GATATTAAATTACAGTGAGCATGGAGAAAAACTGCAGCACGAAACATTCCCTGCAGAGGCACATCTGCTGCACGCTGAGATATCAGTCACTGGCCATGCCCTCCCTTCTTGCCTTGTATACGCCGCGCAATTAGCTGCTTATGTGTGATTTATGACCATGCTGCAGAGAGAGGCGGGTGCCAGCCAGACAGTGCCATGCCTATCACAGGCCCATTTTTTTTATTGCTATATAAAGCTGTTCTGGCCCTTGTTCCCACCTCATGGGAACAATGTAACTGATAGAGAGTAGAGCGCAGACAGAGAGAACAGGACGTTATCAGCTGACACAATTTGTGACAGGATCAACAGGTATTTTTAATTTGAAAAATAAGGAAAAGACTTATTTCATTTTTTGGGTTTACAAACAGTTGAAAGGAACCCTGTTAGTGACGTGCGGTACCTCTTGCTCGGGGTGAGGCATTCCCCAGCCCCGCCCCCGCCTGTCGAAGCCCCACCTCCTGTTAGCCTGAAGCTCCACCTCCTGTTGGCCGAAGCTCCGCCCCACCTGCCAAAAACCCACCCCCAACCCCTCCCCAAGCTAGTGTAAAGGAGGAAGGGAGGAGACAGCGAGGAGCCTCCCTGTCCATCACTTGCTCCTCATCCGCTGAGGCTCTGTGACAGGTTACACAGCGGGGAGGATTTCCCTGCTGTGTAACCTGTTAGATGCCGATCTGAATGGAGAAAAAGCTGTCAGCTTCAGACTTAAAGCTGACAGTTTTTTCCTCCATAATTCTAGGTGAGGCTCTGCCCCACCTGCCTCCCCTGACCGCACGTCCCTGAACCCTGTTGGGATTGAACTATCTGCTAGCTGCCACTGTCAACATGCTCTTAAAGGTACAGGTTCCATGCAACCATCAATGCCCAATATGTCTGGGGGACGAAAATTGTTTGGCAGCCAAAATTCATGTTGTAAAAAATTTAGAGCTTCCCCAAAAACATTTTTAAGAAGTACATTTGTATTTTTTTTATTTTTGATACCCATTTGAGTCAATGTTAAAATATACTTAAAACGGACACTTTAAATAAAAGAAAAAATTTGATAGAGTAAGGAAGGGCATTTTTGCAATCTATGTCCCACTGGGGAGATTTCCTTTGTGGTGGCCAATCCATGTGTGATAAGGATGTCCCATGCTCCCTGAACCACTCTTTCACAATCTGAGCCCGATGTATCCCGGAATTGTCATCTTGGAATATGCCCAATGTGCCATCAGGGAAGCAAATATCCATTGATGTAAAAACCTGGTCATTCAGTATATTCAGGTAGGCAGCTGACCTCATTTTGTGGGCATATAACATTGCTGAACCTAGACCTATTATCCAATGGAAGCAGTGGCGGAAGTGGAGTGAAACTATCGCCATAGAGACCCAGGCGGCCGCTATGGGGCCCGGGGCACAGGGGGGCCCGGTCAGGACGAGGAACAAAGGGGTCCCCCTGATGTTGTGCGGGCTGCCTGGGTCACTATGGCATCACAGGCTGCTGGCTGTCACGGGCGACTGTGAGGAGGAACGGGCCGCTGTCCAGATCACTGACAACCTGTCAGTGATCTGTTCCTCCTCACAGCCGCAGCTGTGCCCAGCGGCGGTAGAGGAGGTGGGGCCCTCCAGCAACCGAGGAGGAGGCGGCACCTGGCACTGGAGGAGGCCGACAGCGAATCGGGGCTGACAGGTAAGAGGTGTGCAGGGGTGTGACCAGCCCACCTGAGACCCTGCAGAGCCACCACAGAGAGTCTATGGTGGGCTCTGCAGGGTCACTCTCAGGTGGGCTGTTTGGGATCTCAGGTGGGCTCTGAAATTTTTTTTTACAATGCATACAAAATTTTGCTATGGGGCTCTATGATTTCTTGTTATGCCCCTGAATAGAATGCTCTGACCTATTTGCTTATCTAAATCTATGTGGTGACTTTTTTTTAGGACAGGCCGTGTATCTGTCACCACTACACATATCCCCATTGGAAGACTTCTCCTCTATTCCTGTGCTGATGACAACCGAAAATGTTGGAGTTTCCCTCATTTTACCAGGACCATAGTGACACTCCCCAGCCAGGACTCTGACAGCAAAACCTAGGAAAGCGGAAGCAAGGCGTTGGGAGCTGGATCTCTTAAAGTAGTCAGGTCTTAAACGGTATTGCAATGATTCTTCTTAGGAAACTCTTACAGGAGTGGTGGCTGAAGGCCAACTCTTTACTTCAGTAGGGAACGGGTGTGGAAGGAGGAAAGAGCTAAACGTGGAACGTGTAAAGTCCAGTTTTAATTTCGGGTGCCATAGCGGCCGCCTGGGTCGCTATGGTGATTGTTACGCCACTGGTCACTGCTCTAAGCCCCATTTTTCCTCCTCTGGAGTTCTAGGTGCTGGCCATGGAGCCCCACCAAGCTCACAGCTTCAACAAGGAAAGAGAAAGCCGCACACCAATGATGTCAGACCTTTATTGAGTCCAGACATATCTCACAGAAAGCCATACTCATTTCACCCAGTATAGGCTTGACTGAAGAGAAACGAGTTCTGGACCTTGAAAATTGTAGGTATCCTGAGGGGTCATTAGTCTGATGACCACTCCAGATGTAGGTTAAGGTTTTAACCAGCATCTGGAAGGATGATACTAATGATCCCTCAGAATTCTTTTCAAACCATTACACACTCTGTTTTTACAATACCGAGACCCAATGAAGCCCCAAACGGTGTTGGCTTTTTATGACATAAGAGTCTGAATAAAATTGAATCTGGATTTTATTTCGGTGCTTTCTTTCTTTTACACCTAGCAATAGAAATCTGACAGTATTGGTAACCCTTGCCCCCCCAAAAAGTTGATATTAGATACCCTTTAAATGTTTCTGTCCAAGCACCCAAATTCTGATCAAACCTGATTTTACATGAGCATGCCAGAATGATGAAGTAGCCCTCCACACTCACCAGCCAAGAACCGCGCCTCCTTCTCTCCATCGCTCAGGTCAGAATAGGCGTCGCTATCAATTCTGACGCTTTCACTGGACGGCGGTGGCGGTTGACCCCAACTCTGCCATTCTATCATGTGAGCAACTCGTCCTGAGCCAAGAGCTGTGGGCTTGGTCACCTTATCCTTCATCGTTCGAGAGACACCTAGAAAAGAGAGAAGAAGGGGGTAGGTTATTGGTACTCCGGGGGTCACCCATGCTGGGGGGCTTTTTGTCGGAGCGTCCAGTACCTTTGACAGAGGATTTGGCAAGAGCACCAATTCCGTAAGCATTGGAATTTCTCTTCAACCGAGGAAGGATCGAAGTTGTGTCTTCCATCGAAAGCTGACAGACAGATCCAAAGAGAGAGGAAGTGATCGCTCAGGGAGAGAAGAGAGAAGGGCGGAGAGAGCGTGGGGTTGGTGGGGGAGATTTGGGGGGGAGAGAGGAATAAAGATAGACATACAGAGCGAAGGGGACAGACAGGCAACAGCGTCAGCTGCGGAGTACAGAGAGGGGGAGCATAGAGACAAAGGCCGCTGTGTGCCTGATAGATCCTGCTGTTATGGTGAAAGAAAAACCGAGAGACAAAATCAAAATCTGTGGAAAGAAAGGTGAAAAAACGTGCAGACGGCAAACGAAACACAAAAAACGAAACAAACAGAAATAAAACAAAAACAATGAATGTGGCTGATTTGTAATGATAAGGCAATTCTGCAGCAGTAGCCAATCAAAATGCAGCTCTCGTTTTTTGGTGTGTCTGATACACGACGCTTAGATCTGACTGGGGATGGTCCCAATTTCCTAGGAACTTGCTTGGATTTGAAAGACTTGCTGCTGGAACTCTTTGCCCAAGACCCCAGACATTGCCTGGTTTTCAACACACCAACAGTATTACAACATCCCTCTTTTTCGGGTAGTTGCATTTATTAATGAGTCACTTGCCTGAAAATGATACTTGATCGGTTGGTTGAATCACCCATCAATTATTTGGGGACTTTAGGGAAGCCATTCTAGCACTTGGGTTCCCGGCTGCTCCCCTAATAAAGCCATTACATGGAGCCATGTGCTGTTTAAGAGACCCCATTGCCAGACCTTTCATTTCATCCACAATCTTTATATAAGATTATATGTGTGTTCAATGAGGGGAATTTATCAAAACTGGAGCAGAAAAAAATCTGGAGCAGCCGTACATGGTAACCAATCAGCTTCTCTCTTTCTATTTCACACAAACTGAAGACAGAAGCTGATTGGTTGCTCTGGGCAACTGCTCCAGATTTTGTCTGCTCCAGATTGATACATTCCCCTCATTGTGTTTCATGCATGTTTTTTTACCTATAAAAGCCTCCCTTGTGTAGCTATCCAAAAGACTCCTGCTGGGTGCCACCATCTTACATGCGATGTTAGCAGGCCCAGGAGACTCAGAGCTGGTAGAGCTACTCAAATGCCACTTTTTAGACCTAAACATTACTTTTTAGGTCTCTAGGGAACCCCTGCTAAAAGCAATCAATCGGAGGGCAGTGGGAAAAAAAAATTCACCTTACATTGGTGGTCAGTGAGAAAAATGCCCCCTCCGCAACCTACATTGGTGGACAGAATGCCACCCATACGTACAGTTAAAAAGATAATTGTTGCCGTGCTGCTGGATTTCAAGTGGCCTTGAACTATGCAGCCACCATCCAAATGGACCATCCAGCTGAAGGAACCTCCAGCAACCTCTGGAGAAACCTTAGAGTTCCATGGATCCTTGGATGGGAATGGCTGCTCCATTGTACCGCTCCTCTGCCGGCAACTACTACTAGGCCTAGAAGAGGAGAGGTCCATGACATGCAAGGAGGGAGGAGGCCTTGCTAGGAAATTGATTCTTCTTAGCAAGTTCAATGGCACATTGCAAGCAAATAAAAAAAAGGGGGGGAATGTATGCATTTAAAATACTTTTTAATTTGGTGACAGGGCCTTCTTAATTTTACATTGTAGAGGTTACAGAAGGAAGGTTGAGATGACACGATTGAGGGTCAAGCGGAACATCCTCAAGTCTCAGTCCACACTCTGCAATCTCTGTTATGTGGGCAGTAGACCCCCTTAAATTGGCCTTGGCAGGGGGAGGAACTAGGAACCCAAGTTCAGAGATCTTTTCATTGTCTCCAAAGGTTAGAAGCCGGAGGTGAGTGACTGAACCAAGCCGGAACGATCTTTTTGGGGAGAAATACAGAGGCTGCCATTGAATCTCAGAGTGAAGTCTGAACTCTGTGTCTGAATATTGTTTGTACCTTATTTTTTTTTTGGTTCTATACAACTCAAACCAAACCTAGCACATTGTTCAGGCCGGGCGCAAGGTTTATGGCATCCTTTTACATAAATTCTATCTGTGTGGGAGGGATACACCCTCTGTCCAGTGTCCACAGCTAAATATCATTATCATGGCGAGTGGCCCTGGATTAATCATATCTTCTACATAATCATGGCTTGTATGGGAGTTGGCTGGCTGCTCTATTTTTTTAGGACTTGTATAGATAGACGTTCAAAAAACATCCAGATGGGGAAAGAAAACAGAAGCGCCACTCCCACCCCGGATTTAGTCTCTCTGCTGCCCCAAGGCCAGGTTCCTCAATGCGCCCCCCTACTCGCCAAACCCCCCAATGGAGAATGGCAGACCTGCAGGCTGCATACAAGTGATCTCGGCGACATCACCAAGATCACTTGTACATAACAAGCGGCGGCTTCCCCACTGTACATTTAGCTCTGCTTGCCCACAGCAAGGCTAAATGTAGAAAACAACTACCCGCCCGGGCATCGGGAGATAGGAATTCCACACCCCTGCTGCCCCTCTACTACCTGCTGCCCCAAGGCCGGGCCTTGGTTGGCCTTGTGGGAAATCCGGCCCTGGCCACTCCACTTATAGAGTCCAGAATAGGATTTTATTTAAATTCTCCAGAAATAGCCAACATGTTTCAGGGGTTCTTCAGGGCTATCAACAAATCGGTGCCTGGCCTAATGCAAGATACAAAAAAAATTAAAATACAAATTAAAAAAAATCAATAAAAATTAAGATCTATATTGAGACTAAAGGACTCATGAATAAGCCTTCCACGGTCCGAATGCTGTTTGCACGGCATTACCACCACTGGACGGTGCTGAGGAGCAAATTCGTATGCCGTGCAAACAGCATTCGCCCAGCTTTACAGAAGGTTTATACATGTAATGGTCAATAAAATGTTTTGTGCACCAGCAAAAACATTGCTTTATTTTGTTTTTCGGAATTCGGGTCTGAAAGTCAATTCGTTTCGGAATTTGGACGGAATTCGTTAGCGGTAATCCGTACGAAATTTCGTTTTGTTCGTTCGTTGCAGCAAAGTGACATTTACTTTGCTGCAACTAAATTTCGTCCAAAAAACGAATCGGAAATTTGGATTAGTTTGCATTCGTTATATCTGTAGACCAAACACGGAAACACCAGACACTATTTGTTTATAACCCTGAAGCCTTGTAACCCCCGAAACCTGTTGGATTTTTCGGGTAAATTTACATGAAATCTTATTCTAGACCTTAAAAATGGAGCAACATTTCTATTCCCTCCCTCATCTGCCAGCACTCAGGGCTGTCTATGTCCCCATTGGAAAAAAAATGACCCTCACTTCCTGTTTGGCCATCTGGACAGAAGACTAAGCAAGATGTGAAATTTGACAGTTCTCAATGTACAGAAGAAGAGGGGAAATCTTGCCAGCGGGCACAGTGACACGAGGGGCCATTTACATTGGTCTGGCACACACTATTCATTTGAATGGGCCGGCAGTGCAACAAAATGGATATGTGCTCTTTTTCCCAATGCAGCACTTGTGCAGTGGCGTGTTGCAACACATGTGCATTGCAGGTACACTGGGTGGGTGCATTGGGTGCTATTGACAATGAATTGCACCTCAACACATGCACTAGACATGGGGGGGCAAGGGTGGATGGGACCCGACAGAGGACCCCACTCAGCAGGAGATCCCCTTTAACAATTCAGAGGCCGTATGGGGGCACTAAGGCTCGCTTCACACTGTTGAGCTGCGCAAACGTGCGCACATTACCACGGCACACGAACATGAGCGTCTTGCACGTTGGTGTGCGGTGGTGCCACTCATTGTTAATGGAACCCCAGTGCACCTTGCCAATGGACGTGTGATGCAGTGCGTGGCGCACTACAGGGCCTTACAACACATAGTGCATGCGCCTTTTACGCATTCAAACGAATTGGCCACCTTAACTCAACGCACGTTGGCGCGCGTCAGCACACCACATGACCGGAATCCTATAAAATGATTTATAGTGAAGGTTATAAAAAAAAATCAAAATGGAGGATTTCTTTAAGCAACTTCAAGCGGGAAAAAAAATGAAAATGAATTTGGATCTTCCTAAGTAAATCGGGAACGTCTGCAGCGCCAAAGTGAGGGAGTGCGAAAGAGAGAGAGAGAGGCGGAGAGAGAGAAGGAAAGGCAGAGAGAGGATTTCCGCACTCACATTGATTCCATCCCAGGAAAAGTCTGTTCGGGTCTGAGAGAGAGGGGAGAACAGTCAGATGAGAGGCGACAACACAAGCCGGACACAAAGACAGCAGGACAGGGACTCTTTCTTTACACCGATATACAAACATGGAGTCACATACACTACAGCCGTTTAAAAACGTAATGTGGGAGGAGAGAGAAACAATACACAGACATATGTGTCTCATTACAGCACCCCGATCATCATCATCATCATCATCATCATCATCATCATCATCATCAGTACACAATCTATTAATTTAAATAAAGTGCGGCACCACAGAAAGGGTTTGCCTGGCCACACTGTACAGTGGTACCTCGGTTCACGAGCGCCTCTGTTCGCGAACAATTCGGTTCGCGAACAGGAAGTTTGGCAAAATTTGGCTTCCGCTTGCAAACTCCGCATCAGGTGACGAAGACGACCGCGGCCATCTTCCCCCCGCTCTGACACACGGCCGTGACTTCCTCCAGTCGAGATCGCGGTCCGATCACAGTTTGATGCGGTTCGCGACCAATTGAGTTCGCGACCAGAATCGTGGACCGAATTAAGTTCGTGAATCGAGGTACCACTGTATTTAGATTTGGCTCCCAGGTGTATTGTCTTTGGAAGCAGGTGCATGTTGTCTCTTGATGATTCGTCTCAGTTGCCAGAATTTTTAATGCCAGTGAATTTCTGAATTTAAAAAAGTAAACGTTGTCACAACAGCAGACCCCCCAAAAAAAATCTTTCTATCTATCTATCTATCTATCTATCTATCTATCTATCTATCTATCTATCTATCTATCTATCTATCTAACTATCTATCTATCTATCGCTCTATCTATCTATCTATCTATCTATCTATCTATCTATCTACAATGAGACTGTCACAGGTCGGCTCAGTAGATCGGGAGGTGAGCGAACACATATCGGCGTTCGCTCACTTCTCGATCCTGTCACAGCTCTCTGCCGTGACAAAGGAGGGGCTGGATTCCCCGCTCCGATCCGCCAGCGCTGACTGACGGAACGGACGGGGGAGGGGGCGTGTACAGCTGGCTCTGCCTCTATAGGCAGAGCCACCTGTCACTCACGCAGCTGGGCGGATCCAGACATAATTGTTGGGATCCGCTCCGGCGTCTCAGTATACCGTGAGCTGTAGCTTGCGGTATACTGAGCTTAGGGTGACGGGAGGACGCTAGTTTGTGTCCTCCCGTTACCCTAAGGAGAACTATGGGGAAAAGCCCTGACCCAATAGTTCTCCTTTAATAATGATATAATAATTGTTAACATTATTATAACAATTATTATTATTGTTATTATGATAATTAAAATACAATATATATGACTTGAGAGAGGCACAGGAGAGTTTTTAATGCCAGTGAATTTCTGAATTAAAACAGTAAACGTTGTCACCACAGCAGACCCCCCCCCAAAAAATCTATCTATACATCTCACACACTCACTCACACACACTCACACACACACACACACTCACACACACACACACACACACTCACACACACACACACACACACACACTCTCACACACACACACACACACACGTGTTGCTGAAGCTTTTCAGGCTCCTGGAGATAAAAACAGAACCTATAAATTGTTGTGTTGGTGTTTCATGTTGAATTCTTGTCCCTCTACAATAAAGCGATCTGCGAATGATTGTTATTATCTCCTCTGCTGTCCCTCCGAGGGAAAAAAAAAGAAACATTGTTTCCAAGTTGTTTCCATCCTTGCTGGCGACCGGCCACGAGCTCGGCTTGTTTTCCAGCAGCGCCGCGTCCGGCTTTGTGCAGATAAAATGGAGGAGCGGGTGAAATAAAAATTGCACGGCCCGTGGCGGCCAAACACGAGCCGAGCATGTTTTTGGGTGCACATTGAGGCGATTCAGATGCTGAGATGTTTTCACGCGATTGTTGCACATTTTCGATCGCGCAACTGTTCATTGAGAACCACGCGGTTGTTGCACGGTTTTCAATGCATAGAGATGTCTATGGGACCCGAACCGCAAACAGCTCTTGCACCTTTTTGCGCAACAGGCGATTCCGGTTGCGCGAAAAACCGCCTCCATTGACTTCAATGCGAATCTTCAAACCGTGCGATAAATCGCCTAGGTGTGCACTGGCTCTAAAGCTTCTGTCGGGGCTGGGTGACAACCTCATAGCAGCATCGGTCAGACACCCCCTGGTGAACGGCCATTTTTTCGGTGAGGGTGGAGAGTGACAGGTTGGAAAACCTGTCACTCTCCACTTCAGAAAGCAGCCACAGCCTGTCCCCTGCCAGCATGCTGCATAAAAGGACTGTTGCTCCTTTTGTAGAAGCAGTGGTCTCTCTGCAGAGGTCCAGCACACTCCTTGCTA